GTCTGTTTTTCTCTATTTCTTCATATATTCATGTTATGATGTCTTTTTTTCAAATGAACTGTTAAAAGTAATTTGAACTGATGTGGCATGAATTCCAGGATATACTGTGAAAACAGCCAAGTGCAAAGAATGCTTAAAAAAAAATGAGAAATAAGAAAATTACACATCTAACTTCTAGAGCTAATGGAGGAATTTAGCAAAGTTGTCAGGGTACAGATCATCAAACAAAAATTAGTTGGGTTTCTATACACCAGCAATGAGAAATCTGAAAGGGAAATTAGGGAAACAGTTTCACTTACAATAGCATAATAAATTTAACCAGGGATGTGAAGGACTTTACAACAAAAATTATAAAACACTGCTGAAAGAGATTAAAGAAGACTTAAATAAATGGAAAGATGTTTATGTTCATGGATTGGAATATTAACAATGTTAAGATGTCAGTACTATCTAGAGCGATCTATAAGTTCAGCAAAATCCCAATCAAAATTCTAACATTCCTCTTTACAGAAATGGAAAAAGCAATCCTCAACTTTATACAGGATGGTAAGAGGCCCCCAAATAGCTAAAGCAGTGTTGAAAGAGAAGAACAAAGTAAGAGGACTCATACTTGCTGATTTTAAAGCGTTCTATACAGCTACAGTAATCAAAACAGTCTAGTACTGGTATAACAACAGACATATAGACAAATGGAATAGAATTGAGAGTCCAGAAATAAATCTGTACATCTATGGTCAACTGATTTTTGACAAGGGTGCTAAGTTCATTCAATGGGGAAAGAAAAGTATCTTCAATAGTGATGTTGAGGGGGCAGAGCCAAGATGGTGGACTAGTCAGACACATTGAGCCATCGCACTGTAAAAAAGACAGGAAAAACCAAGTAAAACAGATACAGACATGAATCCTGGAACCCTGAAACTTAAATGAAGGGATAAAGTATTAGAAGCCTCTGAGAAGAAGAAGCTGATAGAAAATGGTGAGGGAGTAGAGATACAGAATGGAGGTTCCTGGCCAAACCACATGGCTCAGCATGGCCATCTTAGAATAAAGCCAACAATCCTGCATGCAGAGAAGCACCTCCCCAGAATTCCCAATAGGTGATAGAGGTACCGTGCGGACACAGTCAGGGCTAAGTGAGACCATGTTTGCTGGCTGCAACTCGAGGAGCCCAGACCCTCACCTGTTAACCACAGGAGCACACGCCCACAACCCCCACCCCTCTGATGAATAGCAGCAAGAACCACCCCATCCTAGCAGCCCTGACTGCTGGGAACCACAGTACCAACCCCCCTCTATTGCCCTCCTCCATCTAGCCCCCTCTGCCCCTGCCTTTGCACATAACCCTCCCCCCACCCCCGCGTCACTCCTCAGCCCCACCGGCCGGAACTCCTACACCCCTCGCGGCATGCTCAGCCCCTGAGTTGCTGGGCTTCGTGACCCTGAGGGCAGCTGGCCCGGACCCCCAGACCCCTCCTTGC